ATTACTAAATAAATGGCGTCGGATTTTCCAAGAGAGAGAGTTTGTGCATTCCCCTCTCTGGCCCTCACTGCCGCCGTACACTCTGCACGCTCTGCACTCACCCCTTGCGCGCGCTGAGTCACCGCCGCCGCCGCCCGCCGCCGGACCGTCCGTCGGGCTTATCGCCGTGCTTGTTGATGTTGCGCCGCGTGCGGGCTGCGCTGCCGACAATCAGCCAAACTCAGGGCCGGCCGGGCCGAGCTCGAAGTTTGGAGCTCGCATGATGCTTTCCCGCGGCGCGGTCTTTCCCGCAATCACCTGTGTATCTAATCGTGCCTCGGGCCGCCGCCACGCCGACACCTCCCGCCTCCCGTGGGGTCGCCTGCGTCAGCCGGATGCGTTTCCGCCCCGCGCGCTCGCCAGCCCTGCGGCGTGCACCCCACCTGTGGAGGCGGTCCTCCGGTTGTGTCGAGGCAGCGCGCGGTCGGTCGCCAAGCATGCCCGCGCCCGCCCCCCGCAGCGACGAGGCGCCTGTCAGGGCCCGGTAGGCAAACCCGCAGTGCATCGTAGCGGAGCAGGACTGCCTACCTCCCAGGCGCTCTCGTATCGCTCCCTGCGACCTTTTATCTCTTTTTCTCCATCACTCATCCGTTCCTTACCCCGTCTTTCCCCTTATCTTTGCCACTTAGGCGGGTGACCTTTGTTTGGACCTGTGACCAGGGTCGAGGAGGCGAACCCGTTACGCACCGCAGCTCGACAGGTCCGCCTCCCCTGTGCTCAATAGCAATCTCTTATCTCTCTCCCTTTTCCCCACTCGATTCTTCCCCTTTCTTTCTCCCTGTCCTGCTGACGACCTTTGCTCTGACCAGGCTGACAATGGCGCCTGCCAAGGTCGGGTTAGGCAAACCCGCAGTGCGGGAATGCTCGCCAGGTCTGTCTACCTCCCAGGCGACGTCCCTTCAGCCCCCTTTCACAGCGCTCCCGAGCTTTCCGAGCCTCCCTCCCTGCCATATACCCATTCATCGCGTCAATCCGAATTTGTTTTGATTTCGACGTGCCTGTTCCGGGGAGGTCGCCGGGGGTGCCACACTCGGTGAGTGGCGAGCCGGCCGGGGGGAGGGGTCGGCAGGGC